TGTGTTGGTGATAATATAGTTCGGGAGATAAAGGTTAAAGGTTAAAAGTTACACGCTATCTTAAGTGGAGATAGTCTACTAACCTCTTGTATCCGGGGTCCCGTCTGAGCTAAATAAAATCTTCCGAGGTTAGCAAAATAAAATATTAAAATTAGCGTCCCCGTATTGAAGGGGTTCAGCATATACATGTTGATCCACGGCGTCAGCAACATGGCCATGACGCCACATATGACAGAGAAGTTAATACCGTAGTTATCCCCTTTCTTTCTGGATAATTGCAGAACCAATTTTTAAATTTAGCCGATGGGGATGTGATTATAGCTAGTAGCGTTGCCTCCCAGTGTTTGCCAGTAGTCTGTGGCTATATTGCCAGCTCAAGCTCACACCACAAGCTTGAAGTGCTGTGACCATACTGTCAATACTAACCTGACACGTATTAGGTCACATGACGAACCAATGTGGCTACTGTTTGCTCTTAGTACTTGCTCACGAAACAAGTAAATTATGCTATCAGCACATAAACACATGAGAAACTCTTAGGAACACAGTTATACTACTTGTACTCGCTTACTAAATCGGATGAGGTTATGTTATACGAGTACTAATTAACTCACACGAGAAGCCAGTCAAGGTATGCACTAACAAAGACAAGCCTAAGACAAGTTGAGATATGTCCGGTGTAGCTACTCTCTCTTCTTGACTGTATATCATGATTTTAATAACACGAGAGGTGAGTGACCCGTTTGAGAGGAACTCCTAAGCGGAACAAACTATTGCAAGATGAAGATGATTCACGCGACGAGAAGGCTGGTTGACCTCCGTGTTTACTCTAGCTCACTGCAGGGCTCAAGATTCTCAGTTATTACTCCGTTTAATATCCTCTCTGACTGGAGATGTTAACACGCATGCAACTAGCGGCCAGAAAGGTATCAGACCTAAACTGAGACATTGCCTGAGTATATTCTTAGTTAAAGAAATACGGGTGATCAAACCTTAGTGACTGACTGCAGTAGTTTGCTCTTGAAGAACACCCTCGCGTGCAAAAGACTTTATTAGTAAGTTTAAGAAAGGGAAGCACTGGGCTAATTCAATTCACCCATAAATGACACTATATGAATATCTGACGCGAGTGATCATTTGGGAACTTTGTGTCGGGTTCTTCATGGTCCCTTGAGAAATCCGCTGTTGTCATGAACTTCGCGGGAAAGTGTTCCTTTGTTTCAACAGTCAGGTGTATTATTTCTAGGCTCCACTTGGTAGGTGGAAGTGTGCAACACCTGCTCATGTGTGACAGTAATTACTCACGATGCCTGTAGATTTATCTCACAACGAGAGAAATAGTGTATATCAGGTGTCTCAGGGAACACCGGGCGGGCTTGGGTGAGTGACTACAGCGGAGAGTCTTGGTCATACAGCGAGGAAGAAGCTTAACCCACGTGACCTTACGCTATCAGAGGACCTCCTATGATTGATATATAAGTTTATAAAAAAAATTAAGAGTAATAAAGACATCTCAGTATTAAGAACATTACGAAAACCGAAGCAAATAATGCACATATTTTATAGAGTTTAGGTAGAATATGTAGATAGAAAATAAAACATCTTATTCACTATTATTTATAGATATTTTGTTGCGAAGTAAATGATTATCCTCATCTGAGTCCCAAGCTTTTAAGAAGAAGTTTTGGTTCAGATCTGTAAGTTATATAATTGTTAATATTTTATGTCATTTAACTACCTGCTAATATTTACCGTTCGAACGCGGTCATGTAAGTTAGGTTAGATTAGGTTAGTTCAAGTTAGGGTAGGTTAATTTAGGTTAAGTTAGTGTATCATCATACAGGGTCTCATGAGATATGTGATGTGTAAAAATAAACATTTGTTTGGAATTGTATAAATATTGTGGATGAAAGATTTTATTGCACTAAAATAAAAAAAATCGTATAGAAATTATTGTTGCGCATGTAGGCAGGAATTTGTCGCTTCAGACACAGGCGACCAAAACCAAATGAGAACGATGATTCAAGCTACGTTTCCTTGAGGCCGATTATTTAAGCTATAGTCCTTTCAAGATAATGGTTGAAGCTATAAATCTTTAGGGAAGAGAAGATTAAACAATATTCTTCAAGGGTTGAACTACTCTCATCAATGGATAAAAGATATTTAGCATAGGTGTACAGTATTTTAAAAGAGGTATACAATATCCAGTGCCAGTAACATTGAACAAGCTATAACACACAAAACTATTGTCTAGTCCATCTTAATAAATATCTATAACTAATTCCTAATCAAACAAGTTCGCTATATAAATGAAATAAACTTATCATTACTAACATGTGTACTGTATATTGACTTGTTACCCCTAGTCCACGAGTTAAGAATCATAGTCAGTACTATTGAACAAGTTACTCGTAGTTGTACGTATGGGTTGTCTTATCTGACCAACCGAAGAGCATATCCATCCTTGCCCTAAAGTACTTCTGTATAAACACAAACCCATCCTTGCCCTAAAGTACTTCTGTATAAACACAAACCCATCCTTGCCCTAAAGTACTTCTGTATAAACACCAACCCATCCTTGCCCTAAAGTACTTCTGTATAAACACAAACCCATCCTTGCCCTAAAGTACTTCTGTATAAACACAAACCCATCCTTGCCCTAAAGTGCTTCTGTATAAACACAATCCCATCCTTGCCCTAAAGTACTTCTGTATAAACACAAACCCATCCTTGTCCTAAAGTACTTCTGTATAAACACAAACCCATCCTTGTCCTAAAGTACTTCTGTATAAACACAAACCCATCCTTGCCCTAAAGTACTTCTGTATAAACACCAACCCATCCTTGCCCTAAACTGCTTCTGTATAAACACAAACCCATCCTTGCCCTAAACTGCTTCTGTATAAACACAAACCCATCCTTGCCCTAAAGTGCGTCTGTATAAACACAAACCCATCCTTGCCCTAAAGTGCGTCTGTATAAACACAAACCCATCCTTGCCCTAAAGTACTTCTGTATAAACACAAACCCATCCTTGCCCTAAAGTGCGTCTGTATAAACACAAACCCATCCTTGCCCTAAAGTGCGTCTGTATAAACACAAACTATAAACAATACAACCCACACATAGCTGCTGTGGCCCTACGATAATTCACACCGAAAGATGGCGAAGATTGTCCCTATACACGAATGAATTTTGCTTCATATTCAAAGCAGAATTTCCTCTGAGGATTGTTTAATAAGACAACCCTGGTTATCCGTATAAGACTTTTGTGTTGGGGCTTTACATACTTGGGCTAGATGGAGTGATGGAAGTACGGATGGATGGGAGGACAGAAGAATGGAAGGAGGATAGATTGAAGGAAGAAAGGGGAGCAGGACGGAAAGTTGAGAGGAAGGAAAGAAGGAAGTAAGGAAGGCATAGGATGGATAAATGAAGACAAAGACGATGTTTCATGAGATTAATAATGAAGAGAGAGAAGGAGAAGAGAAAGATATACTCTTTTCTCTCTCTTAATCTCTCCCTCTCTCTCACTTTCTCTCTTTCACTTCCCATCTCAGTTTCTCTACCTTCTCTCCCACACTTTTCCGTTTCCCCCCACCCCCCACCCACATATAGTAACACATACTAACATTCACGGACGCACATATACGCACTTACGCGGAAGACGATTAAGTACAGCGGAACGGGTTTGTTGAGTTGTAGCCAAAAACAGTCAACCAAAGAACCAACTACCTTACCCTGGGTCTCGTATTGGGCAATTTTACGTGGCAATGCTTTGTAAAGTAAGACTGTATGGTAATGGTGATTATGATTGGTGGATCTATTTTGGAAACTTCTCATGATCTAAGATTATGATAAATAGTTTGTTATTATAAAAATACTGCCTTTAGTTTGTTTAATATTTATCCTGATAGCGATACAGCCTAAAACAGATCCATCAATCACAATCACTTTTACCATACAGCCTTATTTTACTAAACATTGCCACGTAAAATTGCCCAGTACGAGACCCAGGTTGGGGTCGCTGGTTCTTTGGCTAACTGTACATACATACATACATACATACATACATACATACATACATACATACATACATAGAAACACACCCATTTCGGTCTGAACTCATATACATCAAATGGTGACTAAGTGTTAAATAATGATAGGTAATTTAATGTACACTGTGTCATTATAACTCACCTCCCGTTAATTAGGGTTATCGACGTCAGGTGTAATAATTAACGACATCACTTACTCACGACAAGATGGGGGTGAGGGAACGAGGTGAGGGGAGGGGAGTGAGAGGAATACGGGGAAGGAGGTGAGGGGAGGGGGTGAGGGAAGGGGAGTGAGGGGAGGGGGTGAGGGAAGGGGAGTGAGGGGAGGGGGTGAGGGAAGGGGAGTATGGGTGGGGGAGTGAGGGAGAGGGAGTAGAGGGGTTTCTATTTCTTAAATTCTGATCGGTAGGAGATTAGTGCAAAGAAGAAAAAAAATAAGATTAATGGTAGGTCACCACGTTTACTAGCTGCAGACGTCCAAATTCTGGGCGAACTTTCGAAAAAAATGAAAAGCTGGAGAAGTGAAGCCAATAGGATGTAGGTATTGTACACTAGTGCTTACTGCAGATCTTATATGAAATCATCTTCAGTAGTACATGAGAAACCCCCTCCCCATTCATCCCCATTACGGCCCTCTTACCCCTCCCCACTCATCCCCATCACGGGCCTCTTACCCCTCCCCACTCATCCCCATTCGGCCCTCTTACTCCCCACTCATCCCCATTACGGCCCTCTCTACCTCCCCCATTCATCCCCATTACACCCCCTCCCCAACTCATCCCCATCACGGCCCTCTTACCCCTCCCCACTCATCCCCATCACGGTATTATGATCACAGAGGCATTTTAGCAGGAAAAGTTGGCGTGATGATGGCTATAACGTAGACGGAGCATCACTGGAAAGGAGTATATAAGGTCGAGGGCGCGACTGGTGGTAGACAGAAGAGCGGCTGACGGCACACCGGCGGCATGGTGAGCCAGCTCTTCTTCCTCCTCCTACTACAGCAGTGTTAGAGGGTGTAGATGATACCGATGTTCAGTGGAGTGATTAAGACGTTCAGCTTGTGGTCGGATCTTACCTTGGATATCTTACAATGAAGATCGTGTTCGTCGTTAGTGAATCATCTATTGGTTGCGAAAAATAGAAAACAAATTCCATATCAGTTGCTAAAGTAGTAATAATCCTGATAATTAACCAGATTACATGAGTTTTCCGTTCTGATACATGTCTTGCACATTGCCTTCTTGTGTACTTTAGAAAATGTTTTATCTACAGTGTGCTGTATCCGCAATGCCCTTAACAGGCCAATAACCTTACGAAATCTATATCATATCTAGTGCAACCTGTGTGTGTGTGTGTATATGTGTGTGTGTGTTTGAGGTAAGAAGACATTTATAGTATAATCGTACATCCAAAATTTAGTGCTATGCCAATCTGAATTCCTTATCCTGTACTGCGCATACGTTTTAAATTAGGGGGTTCTAAGTTAGGATGGCATAGACTTCAGGACACAAAGACAGACGGTAAACACCTTTGCACACACACACACACACACACAAACTGTGACTCCCTGATCCTATCTGTTATTGGTATCTATGAAAGTTTCAAGTAAAAGTAGTTCCCAGCGAGGCGTCACGGTGCTCTAGCGATCTGGTGGGTGGCGAGTCCTGCAATAATCTCCAAAGCCACACGAGCGTCCACGATGGTCACACGGATATACTGTAGATGTCTTCAAGCACCGTAACACCTTTAGATGAAGAGAAGAACTTTACCGAGTAAGAGACATTTGCACTCAAGTGCAAATGTCTCACTTGGATTACACAGTTCAGTTCTGGTCATCGTACTACAAAATAGATATAGAATCCCTAGAAAGAATTCAGAGGAGAATGACAAGACTAATCCTGGGCATTAGGAACCTTGAGTACAGAGACAGGTTAAAGCATCTTAATTTGCACTCCTTCGAGAGTCGTAGAGCGAGGGGCGATATGATCGAGATGTATAAATGGAAGTCAGGGATAAACAAAGTGGACATTACAAAGGTACTCTAACTATCCAACCAGAAGCGAACTCGTAACAGTGTTTTTAAATTTGATAAATTTAGATTTAGGCGCGAGATAGGTAAACATTTGTTTGGAAATAGAGTAGTGGATGAGTGGAACAAGTTACCAAACATCATCATTCACTCGAATATGCTGGATAGCTTCAAACATAGGTTGGATGGATATATGAGCGATAGGGGTTGGGTGTAAACTGGACTGCCCAGTATGAGCCCATAGGACCGCTGCAGTTTCCTCCATTCTTATGTTCTTATGTACTATCAGAGACATGAACTTACACTTATGGTCACGGTACTGATTCACGATCAACACACCTAAGACGAAATGTGAAAAGTCAGCGACTAACACACACACACACAGAGCCGGGGCCCCCACTTACAGCATGAACACTGGCTCCTCGCACTCAGCCAGCCAGAAGTGATATGGGAAAATCTATTATTAGATGGATTAATTGACTGGTTCGTATGTATTGAAGTGACCTTTCTTTACAGAGACGAGGTGTATTAGGGGCGCTTGTGGCCCTAGCGATCGCTTCCAGCCAGGCAAGTGGTGGTGGGACCAGCTCAGCTGGAATTACAGGAGGAAGTAGCTATGCCGAGATTCCAAGTGCAAGTACGAGTACCTACAGCAGTAGTGTAGAAACCAGCAGCTACGCTGACGGAGGTGGAGGAGGAGGTAGTGGCGGTGGCGGATACAGTGCTCCATCCGGAGGTGGTGGAGGCAGTAGTGGAAGCAGCGGTGGTGGAGGTTACAGAGCCCCTTCAGGAGGTGGTGGAGGCAGTAGTGGAAGCAGCGGTGGTGGAGGTTACAGAGCCCCTTCAGGAGGTGGTGGAGGCAGTAGTGGAAGCAGCGGTGGTGGAGGTTACAGAGCCCCTTTAGGAGGTGGTGGAGGCAGTAGTGGAAGCAAAGGAGGTTACAGAGCGGAGGTGGTGGAGGCGGTAGTGGAAGCAGCGGTGGTGGAGGTTACAGAGCCCCTTCAGGAGGTGGTGGAGGCAGTAGTGGAAGCAGCGGTGGTGGAGGTTACAGAGCCCCTTCAGGAGGTGGTGGAGGCAGTAGTGGAAGCAGCGGTGGTGGAGGTTACAGAGCCCCTTTAGGAGGTGGTGGAGGCAGTAGTGGAAGCAGCAGGTGGTGGGAGGTTACAGAGCCCCTTCAGGAGGTGGAGGCAGTGGAAGCAGTGGTGGAGGCAGCAGGAGGTGGTGGAGGCAGTAGTGGAAGCAGCGGTGGTGGAGGCAGCCCTATTACTGGTTCTACTAATAGTAAAGTAGTGGTGTGCTCCTTCAAGAGTGGTGAAGCTCCTTCAAGTGGCGGCGGTGGTGGTGGAGGAGGATACAGTGCTCTTCAAGTGGTGATGAGTGCCTTCAAGTGGCGGCGGTGGTGGAGGTACAGTGCTCCTTCAAGTGGCGGCGGTGGAGGAGGATACAGCGCTCAAGTGGCAGTGGCGATGGAGGAGGATACAGTGCTCCTTCAAGTGGCGGAGAGGGCAGCGGCGGTGGAGGTGCCTTCTGGCGGCGGCGGTGGTGGAGGAGGAGGATAGCTCCTTCAAGTGGCGGCGGCGGTGGTGCCTTCTTCGGGAGGATACAGTGGAGGAAAGCGCCTTCAAGTGGCGGCGGTGGTGGAGGAGATACAGCGCCTTCGGCGGCGGTGGCGGTGGAGGAGGATACAGTGCTCCTCAAGTGGCGGCGCGGCGGTGGTGGAGGAGAGCTCCTTCAAGTGGCGGCGGCGGTGGTGGGAGGATGCTCCTTCAAGTGGCGGCGGTTCGCCTTGGCGGCGGCGGTGGTGGAGGAGGATACAGTGCTCCTTCTGCGGCGGTGGCGGCGGCGGCGGTGGAGGAGGATACAGTGCTCCTTCATGGCGGCGGCGGTGGTGGAGGAGGATACAGTGCTCCTTAGTGGCGGCGGCGGCACAGTGCTCCTTCTCTGTGGCGGCGGCGGTGGTGAGGAGGATACAGTGGTGGTGGAGGAGGTCCTTCAAGCGGCGGCGGCGGTGGTGGAGGAGGAGGATACAGTGCTCCTTCATGGCGGCGGCGGTGGTGGTGGAGGAGGATACAGTGCTCCTTCGTGGCGGCGGTGGTGGTGGAGGAGGATGGCCCTTCGCGGCGGCGGCGGTGGTGGTGGAGGAGGATACAGTGCTCCTTCAAGTGGCGGCGGCGGTGGTGGTGGAGGAGGATACAGTGCTCCTTCAAGTGGCGGCGGCGGTGGTGGTGGAGGAGGATACAGTGCTCTTCAAGTGGCAGCGGCGGTGGTGGTGGAGGAGGATACAGTGCTCCTTCAAGTGGCGGCGGCGGTGGTGGTGGAGGAGGATACAGTGCTCCTTCAAGTGGCGGCGGCGGTGGTGGTGGAGGAGGATACAGTGCTCCTTCAAGTGGCGGCGGCGGTGGTGGTGGAGGTAAGCAGTGCTCCTTCAAGTGGCGGCGGCAGGATACCTTCAAGTGGCGGCGGCGGTGGTGGAGGAGGATACAGTGCTGGCGGCGGTGGTTTCTTCGGGGCGGCGGCGGCGGTGGTGGAGGAGGCTACAGTGCTCCTTCAAGTGGCGGCGGCGGTGGTGGAGGAGGTGATACAGTGCTCTTCAAGCGGCGGCGGCGGTGGTGGAGGAGGTGGATACAGTGCCTTCGCGGCGGCGGTGGTGGTGGGTTATGCGCCTTCAAGTGGCGGCGGCGGTGGCGGTGGAGAGGCTATAAAGCGCCTTCGGCGGCGGTGGTGGAGAGGCTATAAAGCGCCTTCGGGCGGCGGCGGTGGTGGAGGAGGCTGGTGAAGCGCCTTCAGCGGCGGTGGCGGTGGAGGAGGTTAAAGCGCCTTCGGCGGCGGCGGCGGCGTGGTGGAGGAGGTTATAAAAGCCCTTCGGCGGCGGTGGTGGTGGAGGCTATAAAGCGCCTTCTGGCGGCGGCGGCGGTGGTGGAGGTGATACAGTGCTCCTTCAAGTGGCGGCGGCGGTGGTGGTGGAGGAGGATACAGTGCTCCCCGCGGCGGCGGCGGTGGTGTGGAGGATACAGTGTGGCGGCTACAGTGCTGCCTTCAAGTGGCGGCGGCGGTGGTGGAGGAGGATACAGTGCTCTTCGCGGCGGCGGCGGTGGTGGAGGAGGATACAGTGCTCTTCAAGTGGCGGCGGCGGTGGTGGAGGAGGTGGATACAGTGCTCCTTCGGGCGGCGGCGGTGGTGGAGGAGGTGGATACAGTGCTCCTTCGTGGCGGCGGTGGTGGAGGAGGCTATGCGCCTTCAAGTGGCGGCGGCGGTGGCAGGAGGAGGATGGAGGAGGTTATAAAGCGCCTTCAAGTGGCGGCGGTGGTGGAGGAGGCTATAAAGCGCCTTCGTGGCGGTGGCGGCGGCGGCGGTGGTGGAGGTTATAAAGCGCCTTCAAGTGGCGGCGGCGGTGGAGGAGAGCGCCTTCAAGTGGCGGCGGCGGCGAGGAGGAAAGCGCTTCGCGGCGGCGGCGGTGGTGGAGGAGGCAGCGCCTTCAAGTGGCGGCGGCGGCGGCGGCGGCGGTGGAGGTTATAAAGCGCCTCAAGTGGCGGCGGCGGCAGCGCCTTCAAGTGGCGGCGGCGGTGGAGGAGGCTATAAAGCGCCTTCAAGTGGCGGCGGCGGCGGTGGTGGAGGAGGATACAGTGCCTTCCGGCGGCGGCGGGCAGGGGAGGCACAAGTGGCGGCGGCGGTGGTGGAGGCTATAAAGCGCCTTCGGCGGCGGCGGCGGCGGCGGTGGTCAGGATACAGTGCTCCTTCAAGTGGCGGCGGCAGTTCTTCAGGAGGAAGCAGCTACAGTAGTTTCTCCAGTGGCGGGTCATCGGGTGGAGGCTCTTCTTCCAGTGGATCTGCTAGCATGTATGGAAGGTAAAGACTGGTCAGCTGAGGAGGATCCCCAACCTGATCAGTTTTTAAAGATACTGTCTGCTCCAACCTACCATGTCTCTTGTCGACGCTGCTTTGCTCCCGGCCTTAGACAACTTCTCTTTGTGTTTTCTTGTTAAATATCAGTAGCTACTTTTACTATTATAGAAGGGATACAACTCCCAGATAATGTACTCAGGCACACAATGTTACAAGGTTGTAAATATTGTTAGCTCACAAGCCGTAGGCAATTCAATCCATGTTATGTTATTTTTCCTATAAGTTCATTGACTGTTAACGTCGCCGACTAGTTTTGTGTAGATTATTGAAATATTTTGTATGTTAGTGACTCAATTTTGTCAATTTTTTGTTTTGTTTTTTATTCTGTTGAAGGATTATTAAAGTTTGTAAATAACTTGCTTTCATTTTGATTACCCCATAAAGATAATATATTTTCAATACTGTATATAACACTCCTTAATTCTTAAAGGATTTTTTTATATGGCTTGTGAAAAAAGAACTATTTGTTACTATTGATTATCATGTATTGAGGTTATGGTGTCTTAAGGTCCTTGGTGATAACGCCAGCCTATGCCGGTTCTCCCAACAGCTGAATTATGTTAGTGATGGAACAAGAGACAAGAACATATTTCAGCTGTAAGAGAGTAAGTACAGGTGGAGAACAAACACATTGTGCTATGTTAGTTAGTTGTGTGAATATGTCAGCTGACTCATGTAGTCAACTTATGATCAATTTATTTGATTTCTCTGTATTAACTTTACTAACATTGTACATATATATATATATATATATATATATATATATATATATATATATATATATATATATATATATATATATATATATATATATATATATATATATATATATATATATATATATATATATATATATATATATATATATATATATATATATATATATATATATATAAATATATATATATATATATATATCTATATATATATTGTGGTCAAAGTTTTGGTGCAGGCTGGTGATCAGGAGTGGGTGGTTTGAACATTTCAATAGTTAAACTAAGTTTCTATATTATCTAATTTGAGAATATTCAACCCAACCTAAATAGTGTATGGAATTTTGTTGTGTTGTGTTGTGTTGTGTTAGCAATTAATGTTATGGCTGATAGAAAACGGGAGAGTCAACCTGGCGGGTTGACGACGTGGGGAGTGGGGGGTCGAGAGCCGACAAGTGAAGGTGAAGGACTGGAGGGTTGACGACGTGGGGAGAGCCGACAAGAAGGTGAAGGACTGGAGGGTTGACGACGTGGGAGCCGAGAGCCGACAAGTGAAGGTGAAGGACTGGAGGTTGACGACGTGGGAGAGGGGGGGTCGAGAGCCGACAAGTGAAGGTGAAGGACTGGAGGGTTGACGACGTGAGGAGTGGGGGGTCGAGAGCCGACAAGTGAAGGTGAAGGACTGGAGGGTTGACGACGTGGGGAGTGGGGGGCCGAGAGCCGACAAGTGAAGGTGAAGGACTGGAGGGTTGACTGACCCACGGAGAGAGAGACCCTAGATTGTGTGGAGGAAACCACGAGGAAAATATTAAGATTGTAATAATTGTAAATATACATATAATTTTTACCTCGTGTTTGAAGTCTCCACCCCTTGTGTGCTTGTTTATCGTGACAAATGCATATACACGTGGTGACGAAGCAGTGGGATGACAGCTCTACAGTACAGTAAAGTAGAGTGAAAAGGTGATGCAACCGATTGCAATATGTCGGAATACCATATAATGAAAGACTACTTAGAGCCGAGGGAGAAACTTGGATATACTGGAGAAGAATTAAGAAAGTTTGTCAGTGATTTGTAGCACACACAACGGGAAAAGAGAGCGGAAGAACGAGAAGCAGAGAAGGAAAAGAGAGAAACAGAGGACAGACGACTACAACTTCAACGAGAAGCAGAGGAAGAGAAGTTACAATGGGAGATAGAGAAAACAAAACTAGCTGCAGTTCAATCTCGTGGCAGCTCATCAAACAACGCAGGTTCAAGATTATGCACAACTTCACCGAAGCCTAGACTACCGATATATGATGAAAACATCGACGACGTGGACACCTACTTGGATCGGTTTGAGAGGTATACAACAAGTAAGTGGCCGCATGTTGAATGGACAACAAATTGAAGTCCTATGTTAACAGGAAAAACTCTTCAAGCATATGTATCTCACTGAGGAATCATATGTATATTAAACTGTAAAGACTGCTATACTGCCAGACTGCCATGTTAAATGATGAGGGATACAGACCAAATTTTAGGGATAACTGCCCCGAAAAAGGTGAAACTGTACACACAGGAATAAACTTTTAACTATAAAGATAAAATTCACTTTAATGGTCATAAGAAAGTTGGAAAAATGTTACAATGCAAATGGACACGAACTCCACATTTTGGGGGTTCCATAAAACACAAAACAAAACAGCAGTTATAAGCCTACACGCAATAATGTAAGGCTACAAGTACGTGACACCATTTAATCCATTACACAAACTCCCCATGTGTCATAAATCAAGCAACAGGAGCTGGCACACAATTACATAGACATGACATATAGACATGACATCAGCGTAATCCCCCTGTGACAAATGTGATATGTAACCCAAATGACTAATAAGGTTTTTCACTCACGTCTGTCAAAACAGGGATGCTAGCTAAGTGTATTTCTGACCCTTGA